TTTGTTTTGTGTAAATGTGTGGATTCATTTTAGATCGTATGTGTACAGTATAGTGAAGGAGTTATCAGTACTTTATGGAATGTAAAAAAAAAGAAAAAAAGTGACAGATTTGCTGCAGTAAAAGCTTTATTGGCAAAATGAAATTGCTGTCAGTGATAACAAAAAAAAAAACAGCCCTTTGCCCTTTGGTTCAAATAAATTTCCAAAATAAAACAAAACGACAGACAAAAAAGGAACAGAAAAAGTACAGTTCTAATCTATACGATCTTCAGCATTTGGCCACATGTTCTCATCGACATCACACCTTATATTGTCTCTTGCTATGCAGCTTGGATAGAAACGCTTCGCATGCCTTATCCACCCCTGGCAGTCTTCAGCGGAGAGGTCTCTGCAGCCAGCCTCCATTGCCTCCAGGAGGGACATTTGATCATGTGGTCGATTATCATAGACTATCCACCTCCAGGCAGAATAAATTCCTCAATGGGACTGAGGAAAGGAGAGTACGGAGGAAGAAAAGGGGAAAGCATTCTCGGATGGGCTGCAAACCAATTTGTGATTGCATGTGAATGGTGGAACGCTACGTTGTCCCATGCAATCCCAAATTTCCTCCCACTTGTTCCCTTTCTGCTTCTGGCACCAGTTGTTGGTGGAGGTCATCTAAAAACAAAAGGCACTCTGTGTTGTAGGGACCAATCTGGCTTTTCTGCAGGACCAAACCAGCACTTGCTCCTCTCTGACCCGGCACATCAGCGGTGGCGCTTTTTCCAATTAGGTTTCTTCCTTGTCTACGAGTTTTTGCCAGGTTAAATCCTGCCTCGTCCACATAAATTAATTCATGTGGTGCCTGATTAGCCTCCAACTCCATAACTGTCTGAAAGAAATCAAACACATGAATGCTTTAAATGCTTTTCACTATGTGGGTATGTTTACAATAGACAATAGTGAAAGAAAGTGTAGAATAGTGTAAAAGTCCCTCTAGAATCAGATATAGCGTATAGGCACCTGGACATATTGGTGTCGGAGTTCCTTGACCCGCTCAAGGTTTCTTTCAAAGGGAACGGTGTACAGCGGTTTCATTCCAGGTTGGAGTACCAGGTTGTCCTGTACAATTCTGGCCTGAATTTCTGAGTTTTATCGCATTGTCAGCAATGACCCATCTTACAATTACATGCTCTTGGTCTTCATTAAGCAGCTTTCTTCTTCCCCCAGAGCAAGGAAGTCGTTGTGTCCTTTAGAAGAACAAAAATTGGACATTTGTATTTGTAGCTGCTGGTGGCCAGCAGTTATTGTGGTACATTACAACTGCAATTGTGGCCCTCATGAAATGCATTTCTTACCTGTTGGTTTGTCAAAAAATGTGGATAATGGTTGACCACAGTTGACCGTCTGAGATTAGGCTGGACTCTTTCACCTGCCTCTCTCAGTGACAGACCATGATTTATCACATGGTCTATGATGGTGGCTCTTATTTCATCAGTGACAACTCTCCTTTGAACTGCACCATGCATTCTTACTCCTCTCCCCCTACCTCTCCTTCTCCCGCATCCTGGTCCCAACTACTCCTCTCACCTGCCTCTCCCTGCCTCTCTCAGTGATTTATCACATGGTCTATGATGGTGGCTCTTATTTCATCAGTGACAACTCTCCTTTGAACTGCACCATGCATTCTTACTCCTCTCCCCCTACCTCTCCTTCTCCCGCATCCTGGTCCAACTACTCCTCTCCCTAGTCCAACTCTCCCCTTCCAGACATTTTATTTCTTTTTTCTGATTCTCTTTGTTGTTCTGTATTGTTTGGAACAAAACCATTTCAGACAGTGTCTTTTTATTGTGCATGGCCATGTCATGGAAAGACTTAAGGAAAGAATTAATCATTAAGATTGGAATCAGCTCTTATCAGTAATTAAAATAATTCTTATCAGCTCATTTAAGCTGCTGTTGTTGCAGAAGTAAAGGCTTTACACTATATTTAAAGTTTGGAACATTAGGTCTTTATTTCTGTTATGCTGTATTTAACCCCCAACTGCTCCCTGGACGCCGCAGCATAAATGGCTGCCCACTGCTGTGTGTGTGCGTGTGTGTGTGTGTGTGTGTGTGTGTCCACACACACTTTGGATGGGTAAATGCAGAGCACTAATTCCGAGTATGGGTTACCATACTTGCCCACATGTCACGTCACTGTCACTAAGAAAGATCTATGATTTTGGTTTTTTGGTTTAAGCTGTGAAAAGAAAATGTAAGCATTTTAGAAACGTGTTAATTGACTGAATATTGTGTGAAAACAACATGAATTGTGTTAATGGTATGGTCACAACAGACGGATATTGTGCTAATTGTGTTTAGAGTTTTGAAAATGTGACTACAGATTGGACAAAGGGATGTTAGCAATTTAAAAAAACGTAATATTATGGCAAAGGTGTTTGCAAATGTTTGCTTTTGGGGTGTGTTTGTGATATTTTGAATGCAGTGCTTCGTTTTGCAAGAGATGTGAGGGATTTTGCATTTTGTGTGTGCAGTTCTTGGATTCATGTGTAAAGTTTTGGAAAAAAAGAGGCAAGTTTTGAAAATGTGTGTGAGCAGCTGAAAAATACTGTAACCAAATCCACCGTTTTGTCGAAGAATTGTCTTTATATTAAAGATCCTGTATGTTTGGGCCATTTAAGCAGAATTTTACAGATTCAGATTAAAATAAATTACTAATAAAACCAAAAAAGTAGCTGGGGTATGTAAAGGAACCTAGCATAATTTTTTCCTAGCATAAAGTAGGTTATGCAAGGTTCTGCCTTGGAATAAAAAAAGCTATTTAATTTTTTTAAAAGTACTTTTTTGTTATTCTTTTAAGTTTATGAAGGACGGGACTCCATAGCTGAAGCTGCATGTAAAAAAAAAACAGTTAGCCTGCAGTCAATTAATTAATAAGTAAATAAACCAATTTTTTCCACTTGCATTGAAAATGACATCAAGTATTTTCTTGATCCAGATACAGTAGCCTAATCATTTGTTCAGATTCCGTGGCAGCTGTGTGAAGTCTGTAAATGTGGGACAATTTTTGGTAAACATTGAATTAATTCAATCTGATTAAATTTGACTACTATGAATTAATGTTTTAAATAAATGTTGTGTCAGATTTTTGTACCTGTTTTGCCCCCGTAGTCCTTCCAGTGTTTCCTTATTTGGTCATTTTCCTGTCCTCGTTTAGTCTGATTGTCTTATGTGATCCACCTGTGTGTCTCCAATTATCCCTTGCATTTAAGCTCCTGTCTTTGTGTGTCTCCTCTGTCGGGTGTACTTCGTCTGAACATGTGTCATTCCTCGCTCCTGTGTTGGATCACCCCAGTGTTTCATGAATTAAAAAGACAGTTTATTATACTCCTCGTCTCCATCGTTCCTCAGTTCCCCGAATTCCTCCTCCTGCTGGAATAGAATACTACATTCAAAAATGAGCTAGCTAGCAAATACATGCATATTAACATCGTAAACATGAACCCTGCTGTGAGTGTGACCATATATAATATGATTAAATATTAATAAATCAAGTGTATCAGCAGATAGCCATCATAAATCAAAGAAGAATTTTCTTAGAAATATATTTTACCTATAGCTGACGAGGAACACTCAGTCGCTTTGTGTCAAACTCAAATGCAGTTATGGCCGTGTGTTTTTGACCAGCGAATGTGTGCAAATGTGCAACTTGTCCATCATTAAAACGGCAGCATCACATTACGTTTTGATCAACAGGTTACAAAGTTTGTTGTATATGGGCGCTCAGTTTTCCCTGTTGTAAAATACGTTTGGCAAAAATGTCATTTTATAAAAGATGAAATGCTACTGTATGCACGCTTGCAAGACGTTCAGCGGCTCTGCTGTGGAGCTTCAGTTCACTGCACTCAGTCAGTCGAGACAGGGGCCGGAGTTATGAGCTTTGACTGACAGTTTGAGCGGATCCAACTAGATTGAGTCACAAACTCTTTCTAATACCTTTCATTCGCTACATATATTTGTAAAACAGACAGACAGACAGACAGACGTAAAGGGTGACCAATAGCATTGATTTATTGAAGAACAAAAAAAACAAAAAGGGCATGCGCTCTGCACCGGTTGAGCCCTACCTGTGCACGTGCCTGCTCTTCACAGTCTCCAGTATGAGGCGCACGCTCTGTATCGCCTCAAGTAAAGCACACACAAAACTATGAGCATACAATGTTATGTCGTCAGTTAAGTTATGAAATTACCAAAAAGACGATTAAAGTTGCAAAATGTGCATGCATGTAGGCTATATATGCATCACATTAAAGAACGTCTCTCAAATGCAAATAAAATATAGCCTATTCTACAACTCGAGATAAGGCACAAGCTGATAGGCTATGTATTTTTTATTTGTAATTCAACGCACAAGTAAAAGTGAGCACAGTGCACTTATACAAAAAAATAGAAAAAAAAAATATCTCGATAATTTGTAAAGCACAAACGAAAATTAAACTATGTAAATGCATAAAATAGCTCATTTTACATTCTGTTGATTTTTTCACTTTCTTATATGTCACTATCTGCATGTCTCATCCATGAGTATGCAATGATGGAGAACACGCTTTAGGGGGTTTAAGAACCAGAACCAAGCTGACTGAGCAATAAAGCTATAGTGAGCCCCTTTATTAAAATACCTGGAGGTGAGGAATAATACACTCAGTATACTTGACCTAATTCACAAATATCTCAACTACAATTGAGTAGAAATTAATTGCATTCAGTTGCGCTGTAGGTAATAAAACACATCTTTATATTGAAATAATGAATATTTCTGTGCCACCCCAGACTGGTTGCTGGCCCTCCCTGTGAAAGCATCCTGGCTCCGCCACTGTGTGTAGCCTAGTAGGCTGTATATGTGTCATGGACTGATAAAACTGTGGTCGCCCATGACTTCTAGCCTCTAGTCTGCAAATGTGCATCAGGTCAGGAGCTACTGACCGCTCGAGGCTCCTCCCTCTTTCAGCGATGAAAACCCACATCAAGGAACCACCTTAATCAGTGAACTTCTGTTTCCAGTTCTGGCTCTTCTCCTCTCCGAGAGCTTTTCCTTGCATACGATGTCCTGACGGCGCCTGGCCTTTATTCTTCCAAAGTTTGATAACGCGACATGGATCAGAAAGAACCGACGGCGCTGCAGAAGCTGAGTTCCTTCAGTATCAAGAGTCTGCTGCTTCCCTCCAGAAATGACAAGCACGACACGACGCGTCCCGAGAAGCACAAGCCGCTGTCGGGCCCCGCACCATCTCTGGGCCCCGCGGAGAGAGCCAGAGACGCTGCGGAAGAGCCGAGCACCACTGCGAAGCTCGACAAGCCGCCGTTCAGCTACAACGCGATGATTATGATGGCAATCAGACAGAGCCCCGAGAAGAGACTAACGCTTAACGGAATCTACGAGTTTATCATGAGGAACTTTCCGTTTTACCGGGAGCACAAGCAGGGCTGGCAGAACTCCATCCGTCACAATCTGAGTCTCAATAAATGCTTTGTAAAAGTGCCCAGACATTATGATGACCCTGGGAAAGGCAACTACTGGATGCTGGACCCCTCGAGCGACGATGTTTTCATCGGCGGAACCACCGGCAAGCTCCGGAGACGCTCGGCCACCTCCAGAGGAAAGCTGGCGATCAGACGGGGACTGCGGTTCTCCCCGCTGGGGTTGGGAATAAACGAGACGCCACATAATCCTCTATACTGGCAAATATCGCCTTTGTTTTCTTTACACCACCCGCACTACAGCGGAACGCCGCACGGATTTCTGAATCAAGGTCCTGGCTACGGTTCGTTCGTCCCTGGAGTCCAGCCGAGTTCTGGCGGTGCTCTGGGCCTGACGAACTCCTACGGGATGGGTTCGTTATCCGTCCCGTCAGGCTACCTGCAGCAAAACGCGTTCAGCTGTCAGCAGACGTTACTCGGCGACTCCCTGAGGACCACTTTGTCTTCGTTCTCACCGGCCGTTTCCAGTGGCTTACCTGGAGTTGTGTCCCACCGAGACAGAGTCTCTCCAGATTCATTTTAAACTGATGGGGAAGTGATTTCGTTGCGATGAAACCATATAATCCTGGACTAAATGCTTCCATACAGTTTTACGCGAAACCGTGGTATTGGTGCGCAGAAATGGACTTTGGCGTGCATATGATACGCAGTTTTATGGGCTTGGAAAGCGCACTCGCTCTTACCTTTTGGTGAAAAATGACCAGTGTGCGATTTAACTCCAGACTATTTATATGCTGTTCGAAGTCGAGTTAATTTATATTATATTTCTTAACTGTATTTGATGTCATGTATCCATCCATGATCTATTAATCAGCAGTCCTGCTGAAATGATATGTGTTGCTGGTCCTAACTTAACTGGGAGTCTGAGAATCAGAGACGCTCATCAGGGCTTTTATTTATTTCCATTTTCTCAGGTCCCTCTCATACCCACACAAACAGAGAAGAAATATGGCTGGATTACAAGCCAAGATTCAAGAGTCACGTTTGCATACTAAAACAACGTCTTGCGTCCCAGAGTTTACAAGTAGGCTTTGTCTTTCTTTTAGTCTTTTATCAAATGAATAAATACACTAAGGAGAATCTCGGACCACTTGTGAGACTGGACTCAGACTTGTTAAAATTACTAGGCTTTATTTCATATATAGGCCTCATTTTACAAAATGTAGCCTGCCGACATTAGCTGCAGTCACATGATTTTAAAAGGCAAACGAATGAACGTCTAGTTTAAATATAGCGGGCATACGGCGCAATTCGTAAACGAATGAATTATAAATAAGCACACGATCCAAGAATCTGCAATGTGTTAGCAATGCATGCAAACTACTAAAGCACGTTTGGTGTTCCGTACACTAGCGGTCTGAGGCTCACTTCAGTTTAGAACAGTTGCTGTTTGAAAACAGGACGCAAATATAGATGAACACTAATATAAAGTTAAACTCACTTTTGTGGAGGTGCAATCCAGTTTAAGCCGACATTATTACTATTATTGCTTTAAAGTTTTGCACTTTAAAAAAAAGAGATTGATTGTTTAGCACTGAAAAATCGCATTTGTATTTACAGAAATTAAGAATTAGTACTACTACTAATAATTAAAAAACAAATGTTTTTGTCAAAATGCAAAATGCAAAAAATTAAAAGGAGGGGGATTTCTCTTTACAGTGTCTCTTTTCAAATTGAAATGTATAATATGAGCAAATTTAATTAAACAGCGAAAAATAAATTGCATTCATTAACGTAGTATAATTTTGAACAGGTGCTTGGCCAGAAATAGTTGTAAAAATCGTCTAGTGTCAGGCCTGGCCACAGCTGTCGGGTCTCTAAAACAGCTGATCGAAAATAAACGTTTTGATTTGTAGATTTAATTCAGCAAGTCCAAAACGTTGTATTTTTCTCCTTTACAGATCAAAATTGTATACGACGTTATTGAACTAATAATGCTGATATTAAGTCGTTGTTAAATCATTATTCTGTTGAGCACACACACAAAATACATTAGCGGTGGTTAGTTGAAATTCATGAACGAAATGAGGGTGAGTAAATGATGGAATTTATGTATATGTAGGCTATGTATTTTTAATTTGTTTAATTTGACAGAGCTCCCGACTCAAAGACGGGGATCTCAGTGATGCGTGAGACAGTTCGTGTGTTATGAGAATATGGACTTGAAGAAAATGAACATATTCGGAAAATATAAACATATTAAATATATATATATATGCCAAAAAGATTTGGGTATAAAACATTTTTAAAAGTAGCATAAAAAAGGTTCTGCGCCCAATATATTTACTGAATTAAAGTATGGGCTAAAATAATAAAAACAAACTGTTAGGCTATATTGTTCTGTCCCCTGCTATGATTGAATATACTGTATCTATTTATTGTTTGTTTGTTTATTATTTATTTATTTTTTACTATAGGCTAGATATATTGGTTTTAGCACTTAATTAGTTGGAAGAGCACCGTGAGTGCAGTGATTGAACAAAACAAAACAAGCCTAAATAAAATAAGGCTCTGTAAACTAGCTACATTTCAAAGAAAATAAAATAGACTATTTATTCAATTAAATTCATTTAATTAAAAAAAGTTACGTAAAGTTACATAAAAAGCATAAAAATAAACTCTACGGCTAATTCAAACAATGTATTATCATAATATCGAATCATTCAGTGCAGCAATCGATTGTTAATTTATTTTTCATTGAATAATTTCCATGCTCGGGTCAGAGCTACTGCAGAAGTACAATAACACAACGAATTAAACGAACTGGCTGCAGCGAAAACAGAATATTAGGACAACATCATACCTAGCCGCTGTAGGACTAATAATTGAATGCGATTATGTGTAGAGACAATTCTAAAATATTCCCCAAAATATTCCCTTTCCTATATGGCACGCGCCGCATTTCCAGATTCAGAGCGTGCAAAATGAGCCCCGAAACATTGCTAACGATGCAACATGAATAATAATAATATTTTATAATCCTAATGACTGTTTACACTGCAAGTTCACATCACGCAGTTTGTACTGAACAGTTAGGCCTATGATAAATAACGTCTCGCCCGTAGATTATACAACTATAGCCTACAAGAGCAACATTTTTATTGTGAAGTGCAGCAACACGCAGAAAAACAAGGACAGAGTTTCCTGTTTGTGACGTTTAAAATAGGCTAATGACTATTCCAGGTAACTCCATATTCCATAATCATAGTCCTCTAACTTCCATTCAAAGAGCAGACATGGTCAGCTTATGATGATCCATATAGCGTGTAATAACATCTGAGCCCTTGAGCATTCACATCTCTCCAGCCTTTTCTTACCACTAGCAGCATTAGTTGTTTTATGCTACCATACTCAACAATGTTTGAACGATTTCAATGCCTCAAAATGAAAATGTTTGCCAATAGCCTTCTTAAAAAAAAAAGAAAAAAACTCCTGGAGATATTAATGAATATTCTGGCTTTAGTTCAGCATATTTGGACCTGACAGTTTCACTCAATAAACTGCATCTACTTAGCCTACTGGTTTTGGAAACCTTTTCACACCAATGACAGTTTATTGGGCCGAACAAGCAGTAAAAGCTGCTCAATCGTTAAACTACACAACAACAGTGGACGTGGAAGGTAAGATAGTTGTTGAGAAACTCTGCCAATATAAGAACAAGCATCAAATCTGACATTTTAAGACTGAGCTATGATATGAAAGCACTTGCATAAAACACTTCCAAATACTATATCTAGATCTGTTAGTGAGCGGTCCATCAGTTCATCATGCGCATTTAAATGGATTTTTCTGGAGAAAGCAGCAGCAGTCCAGCACTGAAGAGACTGCAGCCTGCTCTGTCCAGCATCTGAATGCACCACACTGATCAGATTGCACAGGGTTGTCCAGTCTGCCCTCCTCAGCGTGTGGAGAGAGGCTGTAGATGACCTTGAGAGAGGAACAGAGCGCATGCGCAGCCGCATCTGCAACATTTCGTGACAACACTAATGACCTGCATGGATCACTGGCACTGTTAGTCACTTCTAATCACGCTTATCTTCTCCAGGCTCCGGGTTCATCAGCTCATCTGAGACAGACTCCTGCTTCATGTGCGCAGAGAGTTACAGTAAAAATCACATTCTGAATTGAGGAGTTTTGGGCTACAGTGTATTGTGTAAATCACACGGGTGAAGCTAGAATTTAAAAGAGAACAATTATCAACAAAAAAAAGTGCTTGCTTTCAACGTGTATGATTTTTATATGACTAATGCTTAGCATTTCATACAGTATATAGGGCAAAATTCGTTTTCTTCCAAAAACATACACTGATGTGAATTTTGAGACATACATCTTGATTTTAAATGTGCTGACAAAAACTCAGAAATGCAAAACTGTTTTATATATGTGTTTTATATATGAGCGTTTGTTAGAATGTTGCACTTTAGAAATATAATCAATAAATGATTCCGTGTTCTATTTGCATATTTATATAAATGTCATCTGTACAATAAGTTAAAGAAAGGTTTACTCGCTTTTTATAATAACTAAAACATGCTGAATGTGTTGTTGAAATAATAAAAGCATTTGCTTTTTCGTGAACTATAGTCTCTGAATAAGGAACAAATAATGGAAATTTGCAGTAAATATCCCTTGCATTCTTAGTATTAAAATGCAACTGGACACAATTATTATAAATACAACATACAGTAATACAATATAGTATGTAAGTGTAGTTAAGGCCATATAAAGTGCAGAGACCAAATATTCAATTAATAGAAATGCAAAGGCAGTCTAATAATAATAATCATGTGATAAATTCAGTTCAGATCCTAGACACAAGTGCATACGAGTGAAAACCTTCTTTATAGATCACTGCAACAATGCAGTGTAATATCCACTGATAAAAACACACACTGATACAATTCAACCCAATTAACACACTATATGTGGATTCAGTTGAACACATATTCTAATGGCCTGAGGACAGATTCTAATGACCTTCACACGCAATGAAAACAGCCTGTGCTTCGGCTGATTTGTGTCCTCTGACACAATCACTGGAGAAATATTAACTGTAATAAAAGTGACAATTAAACCCACTCTACTGTATTTTTTATTCATCGAACACAGATCAAGAACCTTTATTTAATATCAAATTTGGTAACACTTTATTTCGATAGTCCACTTTAGACATTCTATTAACAGTAACTTTGCAACTACATGTCAACTAGCAGTTAGTAGAGTATTAGTAGACTGTCTGCTTAATATCTTCTAACTCTTTCTTTGTCAACTTATTCTACTAACCCTAAACCTACCCTAACAGTCTACTCTGAGAGTTAGTAGACATGTAGTTGCAAATTAATGAGAATTAGTTGACATGTAGTTGATATGTAGTTACAAAGTTACTGTCTAAAGTGGACTATCGAAATAAAGTGTAACCTCAAATTTAGGATCAATAAAATTGCACTGCAATGTCCAAACTCCATTATGTCTACATTAGGACACAAAACTACATCCTCTCAGTGAATGGTGGTGTTTTGGTTG